GGACATTTCCAACACAAGATGTGTTATTAGGACGAGTTGGTAATGAGACCTTTAAGCCACTTTGAGTTTCTTTTATTTTTATTTATTAGTGATAACCCACACTGCTTTTATAATGGGTTTGGGGGGAGGGGTAGGAGGGAGCAAGTTCTGACTTCTCCCCTGCTCCCTCCCCTGTTACCCCACTTTTATCCCCTCCCCAAGAGAAAACCTTCCCCCTTTTATAGAGCTGACTTTAAAGCGCTCACCCTTCCCGCCTTTAGTTGAAGAACATGTGGACCTGCAGCCGGGAAAGCCACTTGTGGGGTCAGCCGGGTTACCTGAGCTAGTTGGAGTGTGGCCAGTAAGGTCCACTCTGATAGAGGCAAGTCCCTCTAAAGAGGGCAGATCCCCCCTTAGCAGCTTCTCCCTGGGGCATTGGACATTCCCTTGGGCCCCAAGTGGCAGAACCTTGGGGATCCCCTCCTGGGGTGAAGCTCCCTTGGCTTGATGAGTAAACAAGGGCGCCGACACCGAGAGCAGGTGCCTTGGAGGCTCGGAGACCTGCGGGCTCAGCATCGGGTGGCGCTGAGCCTTTTCCCAGCCAAGTGGGTGGGTTCTCAGATGGGGCCTCTTTATACCAGCCGGGAGGGCCTGTGTCATCAGCGGGAACCATCCTCTCGGGGATGGTTTGTCCAGGGGCTGTTTGCTTGGCGCTGCCTAGAGTGGGGGACAAAGGGGCCTCCGGCGCCCAAAGGGGATGCGTGTCTGGGCTTAGAGGCTCTGTGGGTCTCGAGCTGCCCGGCACTGGGGTCCTGCGCCCTCCCCGCTCTCCTGCCTAAAAGCCGGGCTGTGGAGGCACTTTCTGGCCGGCTGGCCCCCGAGTGTGTGTGATCTGCCCAGTGTCGGGCGGGTCACCCGGGATTCCCAGGGCTGGGATTAGACCCCTCTTCAGAGCTCTGCCAATTGTGGGGCCTGGCGCAGATGAGAGTGCCGAGCGAGAAATAAAGTGTGTGGGGGATGAAAAGCCGAACTGAATCGCTTTCAGCCCATTGTTCATCAGGGGAGGCTTAGAGGGGATAAGAGGGTAGCAGGCCCCTTTGAAATTTCCTTGAACAAGTGAATAGCAGCGCCCCATAAAGCATGAAAAGGCCCTGGCTGCTGCTCCTGGTCACAATGGCCAGCTCAGGCCGGGAGGGGGTCTGCCAGGGGCTGTGGCGGGGGGCTGGCTGCCCTGCTGGGAGTTGAGGAGGGGATGTGGCTGGGGAGGGGGAGGAGGGGGTCACAGGCGGCCTTCAATAGACTCCAGAAGGTTGGAGTTCATTAGACACAAGCCGGGGGAAGCAGTCGTCTCATTTGTGACAGAACCAGTTAAGTCCCAGGGGCCTTTGCAGGAGGCCTGGGTAGAAGTTGGGCAGGGCCGGCCTGCACTTGGTTGTTCTGGGCGCACCTGGGCCTGGAGTCCAGAGCGGGCAGGGGCTTTAAAGAAATCATTGCCTTCGCCCAAAGCCCGCTGCTGCTTCTGTTTTCCTGCTAAGTGAAACGCCCTATTAAAGATGGCTGGGCTCGGGTCTCAGTAGGCCTCTGAGAAGGCTGTTTTACGAGCCTGTTACTCTGAAACCTATATTCTCGGAAGAAATGGCTTTTTACATTTTTTTTGAAAGTTAGCTGCCAGATTCCCAGCCAAGTCCTAAACCCCAGTCTTTGGAGCATGGGGGACTGGAGGGTTGGGGGGCCATTCCCGGGCACCAGGCCTAGGAGGATGAGGCCGGGGGTGGGAAATCTGAGAAGCAGCAGGTCCTCTGCCACCAAGTATGGCTTCTGTGTTAGAGGTGGCCAGGCACGTGCAGGCCACACAGAAGCGGCGTGGAAGCCACACGGAGATGGTGTGGAAGCATTGCTTGGCCTGGTCCGTTCTGAGCAGAACTGCTCACAGGACCGGAGCAGCTTGACCTGAAGGCCACGTCTGCCCTGGGCGCCCCCAAAATCAGTGCACGACGCTTCCCTCGTGTTTCATGCACAGGGTGGCACGGGCTATTCTATTTATTTATTTTTATTTCCTTATATCTTATTTATGGGTTTACTTTGGACACCAGGGAAAGCATCCGCGTGAACTTCAAATATTACCTTATCTTACAAACCAGGCTTTTGATGTTGGCTGTGATCAGAGGCGGCCCTCTGAGAGGCTGCCAAATGGCGATGCGAGTGGATGCCTGTGCGCATGAGCCTGCGATTTCAAAGTCACCGGAAAACGACATTCAGGTTAGGCCGGGCACAGCGGAGTCAAAAGGCTAAGCTAATTGGCTCGGCTTAAATGGCAGCTAAGTGGAGTCCACACTTCAAAACCGGTGCTCCCCAGAAACAGCTGGGCCCGCAGCCGGCTTGTTAGCTAAAATGTTTATAATGAAAGGAGGCTGTAGAGGGACCCGAGCTCGGGATCTTTTCAGCTCACAGTTCTGAGCAGCCAGGAAGCTGATCACAGGCTTTTAGAGCCTGAATAAAAAGGGGAGAGGCCCCCTTCTGGAATGAGGGGCTGTTTGGGAAGACGATTCTTGGCTGGGGAAGAATTAAAGCCACATTTCTGTGAAGGCGCCTGTCAGGCCTCTCTGAGCCTCTACAAGCTGAAATCTCCCTTTTCCCCCCCCCCGCACTGGCTCCATCAGCTGCCCTGGGTGCAGTGGGGGTGGGGTGTGTGTGTGTGTGTGTGTGTGTGCGCCCTGAGGGGGGTGCTCAAATCATTTGTTCCTCTGGCCTTCAGATCGGCCAGTGACCTGCTTCCCTTCCTTCCCATACCTGTGTCCCCCAGCTCTCTTTTCTTTCTACCTTATATGAAAAGAGGAAAGGGTATAAAAGCCTTACCCTTGTTTCCATCTGGGAGGAAAGGAGAAAAGACAGAAGGCCACTAAAGGACACTCGAGGACAGAGTCTTGGAGGGGATGGGTTGGTTACAGTGGGGTCCAAGGGGTGCTTGACTCCTGGGCCCCAAGATTGTTAGGAGGAAGCCTGGAGCAGAGACATCTACTCTCTTATGTCCCAAGAAGGGTTGCTGGTCAGGAGAAGGGTGAGGACCGAGTCTTGCAGCCTTGGGATAGCAGAAGATGGTTAGATCAGTGTGAAACCCAATCTGTGGGACCCCCACCCCACAGGGGTTTAGGTTAGAGATGGGGAGATTCACTGGAACCACCTGGTATGCCCCCTAGCCAGTGGTACCAAGTAGTTGGGGGGGACTTTCCAGAATGTTTGCCAAATCTCCCATCCGTCGCTTCAGCACCTCAGGTGACTCTGGGGGGCTTAGGAAATGGCATCCTCACATTCAGTCAGGAACTTGGATTTCCCAGGCGAGGCTGGGAGTGCAGGTTGTTGAGTTAGACACACCTGTTCTGCAGTCCAGCAGCAGCTTGGGTTCAGATCTTGGGTCTGACCCCTGCTGACTGAGACTCTAGTCATCTAAAATGTGGTGAATTCAGGGTTTTGTGAGAATGGAGCTGGATTCTACGTCAGGTGTGTCTGACCCACTGTAGGCACTCGGAGTGTGGGGGCCGGCAGCCTTGGGTTGGAATCGGTCACCTGGTTGGACTTGGAACCTTTACCCTCCTTGGCCTACAGGGGCCCCTTGAGTCCCAGGCCTTGGGGAGCAGGCGGCTGTCTGGGTGACTTGACCTGCACTGGGGCTCGCTGCCTCTGCCCTTGGCCTTACTCTGGGACAGGACTCACACCTGTGTTTAAGGCCTTGCTGTAGATGTCACTCTCCTTCTGCCCTGCACCCTCAGTGTGATTATCCCTCGTGTGCTTCTCGGCCAAGGGCTGGCTAGCAGATCGTTGATCTGCTGTGATCAGTGTCACCCCCACGGTGGCCCTGTGCTCCAGCCCCAGCCTGCAGACTTCTGGAAACGCAGCCACTGGAATCCAGGGCATCGCAGATAAGGAGCCTGGGTCAGCCGCTGGCTCGCTCCTGCGTGTTCTCAGGCTCTGCTGGTTTCCACCGCTGCTGCTGAGCAGGCTGAGGTTTTCTCTCTTCCACCCTCTAATGAACAAAACACCTAATTGCAATATTTACAGCCTTCCAGTATGATTCAGTATGGAACTGTTTGAACATGGGGCTTTCGTAAATAAGTCGCTTCCAGAAGGGACAGCAATGGGAAAATTGTCCCACCTTGACCGTTCAGCTGCTTTCAAGAATAAAATTCTCTTTTTTAAAAAAAAACCACAGCCACTCCAGGTCATGTTTCTCGTGAAGACTAGTTGGAGTACAGAGTGCATGTTTCTTACCTCTTCTACTGGGTGTTTTTCCCCCCAATATAACAGTGAAGGACATAGGGGCCGCTACTGCCTTCAGGTCTTTGCGAGGACTTCACTGACACCCCCACACCCCTCGAAACACCTGGCATGCCCCATAGCCAGTGAGTCCTAAGTGGTGAAATTGCAACTTACCCCCCACTCTCATTCAGTGGCCTCCCCCCATTTCCTGCCATGTGTTTCATCATGGTAATTACCACCTTCTAACATACTATAGGTTTTGCATTTTTATTTTTGCTTATTGCCTGGGCCACCCCGTTAGGATGCAAGCTTCATAGGCAGCCCTCTGCATTTGTTTCCCTTCCTTCACTCCTCTTTTGCCTAGTGCCTAGAAAAAGGTTTGGCACATGGTAGGTACTCAAGTATTGGAATGAATTGCACAGAATGCCCCACAGTAGGGGCTTTGTCTTTATGCCCCATTGGTCATGTCTTTGGGACTGCATTGGTTGGGGGTGGTTGTGGCAATTTGTACAAGGAAGAAATTTGGGGACGACTGGGAGGTTGATGGTGGAGAATCACTCATGGCTTCACACATGCCTGGTTAGCCTCTGTGGTCTGGCCCCTCTGCCTGCTGTACTGTGCCCTGGTATGCTCCATAAGGCACACCTGGTTTCCTGATTTGGGGTAATGTGTTGCAATGGCAATGGACTGTTTAGGGGAACCAAAGGGGGCTAAGGGTCTCCTGCTTTGGGCACCTGTAAAATGAGGAGCCTTCACTCTGACTGGGCTGGCTGGAGTGTACCCCGGTTGTAAGAGAACAAACAGCCTGAGAGGAGCTTACCATGCTCTTTCCAAGTCAGTGATCCTGAATCCAGAGATGATTGATAGGCAGGAGGTTTGGCAGTTTGATGGTGGATTGATCTTTCCCTGTGGGGACAGCCATGGCACCTGGGATGGGGTGCTCTCATGGAGGCGTGTGGCCCCATCCATTGGAGGGATCTGAGTGTGGCTTGTGAGCATCCTGAGTGCTGAAGGCATCCTCGTGAGCCTGCGGGATCTGTCTTTTCCCTTCCCGTAGAGATGGAATCCCTCCTTACCGCGTGGGGAGTAAGAAACAGCTCCAGAGAGAAATGCATCGCAGCGTGAAGGCCAATGGCCAAGTGTCTCTACCTCATTTCCCGGTGAGTATAGTCTAGAGGGGGAGGCGGCTGGTTGCAGCCATGCTGAGTCCTGAAGAAAAGGGATGGGAGGAAGAGAGGGGCATAGAAACCATAGGAAGGGCAGTGCTGGGGCCTGCTAGGGAACAGCGGGGCAAGGAAAGACCGGGCAAGAGGTGCTACACGGGTCCTTGGGGTGTGACACTGAGCAGAGGGGAGCTCAACATGACCTTCTTGAACCTTTCCATTTTCTCAATTCATAAAAGAAAATTCTCTATGAGAAAGAAACCAAAGCACTTTCTTCCCAGAAACCAGGACCTGATAGGAGTTAATCCATGCTTCTCATTGGATTCCCACTAGAATGGAAGCCCCCCGCGGGCAGGGGTTTTTGTCTATTCTGTTAACTTCCATATTCACAGAAACTGGAACAGTGCCTGGCACATAATAGGTGCTTAAATGAGCACTTGTTGATTGAATGAACGAATGAATGAACGGATGAGGGGGGTAAAAGAATTGCTGCCTCCAATGGGAGGGAAATTCCTTCCCTGGGACATTCTTGTGTTGACTACATGGCTCAGTCTTTTCAGTCATCCATTTATCTATTTACTTGGCCATTTCTTCTGCTGACTTCTGAAGCCCTGGAGGGCAGCTATGCCATCTTATCTATTTCCAACCCCAGAACGTGGCTTAGTACCTGTTGTTGACTTTGCACCTCATAGGTGCTGAATAAATGAAGTGTTTGGAAGCAAGGGTCCCATGAGCAGCTTCTTCCTGCAATTGAGATGAGGGGCCAGCATGGCATGAAGGACACTTCTGGGTCCTCCCTCTATTTCCATGTCCTAGAGGGCACCCAGCACGGCCCCCCCTGTACTCAAGAGAACCTCACTGTCTACATTTCAGTATTGCTTCTTTCAATACTCTGACATCCAGGTTGCAAGGGTGCTGCTCCTGGGGAAGGGGAAGAGAGTGTGCCCAGTTTAGAGCAGCATCTCTATTTATGAATCCTTCCTGACAGCTTCCAAGAACCCAATTGGTCCATGGGTTATGTTGCATTTGGGAAAGGAACTGAATTGCTGATCCTGTGTTGCCTCAGTGCAGGGATTGGGATTGTTTGCCCGAGCAGCTCTTCTCTGAAACCTCCTGGAACGGTCTGGGGCAGACTTCACCTTGTCCTAAAATTAGCACATTAAGATGGCTCTTCTGGGGACTTCTAGCATCCCTCTCCTCAATAACAGTGCCCCCCAAATACAACAGTATTGATGACACAACATTTTTTTGATGGGGCAGAAATGTATCATATGTATTAACAAAGAAAACCTCCAACACCCAGGCTTGTAAATGAGACGATTTCGTCCTGGGGTGTGCAGATGGACTTTCTCCACGAGGCAGTGCACGTGGAGCCTGCCTGTGTGCGAAGGGCCATCTCCCACGGAGGGGGCAGGACAGGCAGGAGGTCCTGCAGCTAAGTGGTTGCCGCGGGGAGGCCCACCCATCTGCTGGGGGAGATGCTGGCCTGTGCAGTTTGGCTTTCTGATGCCCCCACCGCACCCCAAAGAAAAGGGCAAAGCGAGAGGCAGATCTACCAGGGAAGGGGAAGGGGAGGAGTGGTGGGCGGGGAGGAGGGGTGGGCGAGAACAGAAAGCCGGGCGGGCTGTGGGGGGTTCTCTCTGTTTGCTGCTTTTGGCAGGCGATCTCGGTGCCTTTTTATATTCCGCACTTGATTTGGAGATGTTCCCTTTTCCCTTGATAGAGCAGCTTCAGGCAGCCAAACTCAGCAGTGTTCTGCTACTAGCCCGCAGCAGCTTTCTTCATTTTCTGTACAAAGAGCCGGGGAGGAGGGGCGGGGGAAGCAGGCAGATCTAGGACAGTGTTGAGACAACACCGCCTCAAAGGTGCGCAGTGTGCGGCCAGGAAATAAATTACCGCTGCTTCTGATCCGGCCTGCGACTCCCTTTCTTTTCCCTCCCTCTTCCTCCCCCCACCTCCCTTCCAATCTTATTTTTTTTAATTTCCAGCTCCCTTTCTGTTTAGACTCTACTTTTTATTCCTTGAGTTGGTCTCTCCCCCCTCCCTACCTCAGAGGCTGCCTTTTTTTTTTTTGATGTTTGACAACAGTCTTTGAAGATTTTCTACTTCAGAGTAGCTACTGATGGGCTGGTTGTACTACAGAGAGAAGAAGCGGGGCCTCTCGGAGTGCGACCAACTGCTCCTGCCCAAGGCAAACGCTAGTGGGGACCATGGCACTCCATGAGGCCGCGGCGCCAGCACATAAAGCTCCCTGGCAGCCCGGGCCTTGCTCTGCCCGAACCTCGAGCCACCGAGCACGTCGCCAGCCCGGGAAGCTCCGGCTCGGCCGCCCGCGCCCGGCCGGCTAAACATGCCCCGTCCCTTTCCTCCCCGCCCCCTGTAGAGAACCCACCGCCTGCCCAAGGAGATGACCCCCGTGGACCCCGCGGCCTTCGCGGCCGAGCTGATCTCCAGACTGGAGAAGCTGCAGCTGGAGCTGGAGAGTCGGCACAGCCTGGAGGAGCGTCTGCAGCAGATCCGAGAGGTAGTGCTGGCCCTGCCC